ATGCATAGCTGCTAAAAGCTTGGTTAAATATCAGTGTTTTTTATTATTAAATCATCAAAAACATTAATGCTGGATGGGTTTTTAAGACTATTATTTTTATACTTAACATTTATTTAAATTTGTTTGATGGTTGTAAATTAATCACTGTTTACTTTCTTTGTAGTCTTTGACCTTTTAGTTACTGTTGTTTACAATGAACATAGCTGTTCTTTGTCCATATTGAGATTGTTATACCTTATATTACAAAATACTAGCAATTGAAGGTCATTTAACCTCTCTGTTGATAGCATCTGTGCAAGTGTACAATCTCTATAAGTGTGTTAGTTAACATACATCAGCTGGCTGTATTACATCCATCATGCTACATGTACTAGTTTAAAAGTTAGAAAAATGACTTAAGAAGAAATTAAAATACTTTATTCAAATTGCGTAGGATTTTGATATTGTCAAAAATGATGGTGTGGCTAATAAATGGAATTTCAAATAAAACTATCTCTTAACACCATTGTGATATTCCAATGATAAACCAAGCACCTGTTTGCCTGACCTTCACAACAACAGGTGTGGAAGGATAAGTTTAGTGATTTGTTAAATATTGAATGAGAGGGAAGAAATATAGTTTGAAATTAAAATAAAATTAAATGCTTTACTGGTGAAGAAACAGATAAATCCCTGATTGGTTAGCAGTGCGACTATTGCATCATGATGAATGAAGTAAAAAAATTGTATTAAAAATGTAATCTGTGAAAAAGTTGTATTTGAGTAAAATAAAAATAAACTTTACTTGAAGGTAAACTCAACAAAAGCAGCTTGAATTTTTAACTAAGTGCACAGAGTCAGCAGGATGATTAAGAAAACCATTGTTAAGACTTCACAGCTATTCTTGGGTTTCTCAAAAAAGAAATTAATCTTGTAAATTTCAAAACTGCTTTCACATTTCACATTCACTCTGTAGCCTCACATTTCGCAAAATTGGATTACTAGTACCCAGAAGTATCTCTGCTCCACATGACAGTTGTAGAGCAGTCCCACATATGCAAGGAAATGTGGGACATAATGTACCTATCCCATAAAACAGTAGATAGCCTCTTTGACCAAATCATGCTATAGAAAGCAACACATTTAAAAAATGAAATTATTTTTGTGATATAAAATATTTACAATAGAAGAGTGAAATAAGTGGTGTTTTGATATGATACCTTACCTTCTGTCCATCTCTACTGACCCATGATTCCTACAATTGGGGTCCATCTGCTTTTAAAAACAGTGTATTGCAAACATCCATTGCACTGTCTTCAATGTGTCATTCCTCCAGATTCCCCAGTGCATATTCCCCCCTTTTCTCTTCTAGTAGAGCATGGGAGTCCTTACCACTTCCAGTTCTCAGTCACTGGAATAGTGGACTGTGGAAAATTCCTTTTGAGTGGGTTTTGGAAAACAAAATATAACTTTCTAGTCTATGTGGCTATAGTTGTTATAATCATTACAGTACTAAACAATGAATTATACAGTCATATTCAGTATCCAAGGTACTTCCACTAGATGTTTTTACCCAGATGGACTGCACTTGGCATAATCCGATGTATCCCAAGGTATTTCCCCTGGTTGTTTTTTGCCTGGACAGACTGCACTTGGCCTATTAAATATATTACACTGTCCTTAAGCACTAGCCATACATTTATATTTTGTTTTCTCTATAGCTCAGTTACTGGCATCATGCTGTGATTCATTACCACTATGTTCGGTGCTACATCTTGTTTCTTACAATGACTTGTTATGATATAGATGTGGACAGAGGGCTAGTTATGATGACCCTTATGATTGCACTCATAACAGTAATTTATATCTGTCATAGTCCTATGTATCCAAGGCACTTTCCTTAGATGTTTTTGCCCAGTTGGTCCACACATACATATAAGAGAAAGTGATTCCATACATATGAGCCTTTTAATATTTGTCAACACCATACTGATTCATGTCATGGTTACCCAGCTTTTCCTACACTGATTCAGTGCTGTACATCTCTATTGACATAAATTGCACCTGCCAATACAGTTCTGCCCCAACTGTGTTACTGTATTAATTGCTGGGTGAACAGCATACCTGTTCCAGAAGTAGTGCTGTACCCACTAGTTTGCTTTCTTTTCACATTCTGAAATAGTACCACCTCTCTTCTCCCATAGCTATCTAGACCTTCATTTGCCCCCGAGCCATTGGTAAAATTTTTGTACAGTGCACCAGTCTTTTATACCCCTATATATTTTATGACATTGCAGCAAAATGTGCTGATCCTGTGACCACCCTCCACCAATCCCATTGTGCTCTCTATACTAGCTCATTTAGCTCCCTCTACCATTGCGGCATTCTCATGCATAGACGTATGTTTTAGCTCGTTCTCCATGTGCTTGCACAATTTTGATTGTGCTTTATTATCAATTAATATCAGTTTCAAGTTTCTACTCGTTTGTTTTTGAGATATTTCTGTTTCCCAAATTCTACTTTGTTCATTTGAATTTGTGTTTAATATGGCAGTTGATAATTTTCCCACCATAAGTAGACAGCATCTATAACACTAGGCCACAGACTCAGGTTTGATGATGTCAGATATAGAAGACTGATTAGTGTAGGTTTTATTATTTATTAATTTATTTTGTGTTTGTAATTCATTGATATCGAGGCTATCAAATGTTGTGTGCAGTCTATTGATGTCAAGGCTATGGGGATTTCTAGAAGGCCTAAGTGATAGACGTATAAATAGCTGCGACCAGACAAGTGAAAACCGAGTAAAAGTAAAGTATTGTGAAAGAGAAGTTCGGTCTCAGAAAATTTTTAAAAAATGTGGGAGTGAATGGCCTAACTGGGATATGTTAGAGTGAAATTAACAGTTTTGAAAGAGATAAGGAGAATAATTTGTCTTGTCTAAGGGTGTTCTAAACTAATTTAACCCACCTGTGTGGCCTTTAAGAAAAGGCAGACAATTATTGGAAGTTCAGGATACAACTGTAGTGAAGTAACACAATAACGTAAGTGAATTATACATAGATACTATTGCAATAACAATAGAGAAAAATAGTTTGGCTTGTCAACTGAATTCTAAAGCAATTGAATTGGTCTAAGTAGACTTTTGACAAGAAGAAGAGAACTGTATAGTGCTTAAGATACAACTGTGATCTCCATAGTGTAAAGAATTTGTTCATATGTTTAACTTATTTTGATTGCGTATATATTATTTTGAAAACAAGTAGTGTGTGTGTGCTGTTCGTTTATTGTTGAATTTATCGCCAACAAGTCGCATACACCTACTGTAGAATAATCCTTAGCCCAACACACCCATATATTTACATTACTATATATACTGTTAAAAAGTAAGTTCCTGACAAATGATGTCTGCTGAGGAATAACAGCCTTTTACTCGTGGGAGTTCATTTCTTACAGTTGGCAGGCAATGTTTTCCTTTCAAGATAGGTATCATTCTTTTTCCCAGGAAATCTGTAGTACGTTTTTTAGTGTGTATTTCTCACACCCTATAGCTGTACCCATGTTCAATGAGTTTATGTGAACTCGTGTGTATGGATCTTATTTCTGCACTCAATACTTTACATCTTTCACGTCTTCTCTGGTCAGTGTTGGGTAAGTTCGAATTTTATACTTCTTTTATTATCTAGGTTACTTTAGTTTACAACTTGCATTTGAGGTTGGTTCCTTGCATTAATTTTATTTAATATTTTACACTTTTTCACTGTTAATGTTATTTAATTATAAGTTACTTTTTTTGTATCTTTACTACTAGTCACATCTAATTGGGGATAAGTTTTGAGTCAAACTTTGTTTTTGTTAACTGGATGCCTTTTTATTTCTTCATGTTCCTTAGTAG